CTAAAGCAAGTGCAGTGCACTTGCTACATTCTTTCTAGGATAACTTTGGCCTAAAAGATAACACTTACCTTGCTACCTCCTCCTCAGATTTGGTTCACACCTAGAGTTAGGGTTAAGGTTAAGAGGTAAAGAAAGCATAGAGCATAATAGAGCACAGCAACATAAAATGTATGTCAAATCAAGTGTATACGCTACATACATTCCTTCTAGGAGAACTCTGGCTTAAAGGACAACACTAGCCTTGTTAGTAACACTTGTAATATGGCTCACACCTAGGGTTAAGATTACAACTTTAAGAAAGGGTAGAGCGCAACGGGAGACAGCGATACAAAAGGAATGTCCAAACTAAAAAGCACTAGTTATGCTTCCTGGCAGCACAGAGTATTTGGCTCTCCACTAGGGTTAGGCGTAGGGTTGAGAGAGAGACAAAGCTTAGAGTACCATGGGCCATGGTGACACAAAAGCCATGCTAAAGGAAGTGTAGGACATCAGCCACATTCCTTCTAAGATATGTTTGGTCTTTGAGACAACACAAGCTTTGATGTGCCACCTGATATATGGGCACATATATAGGGCTAGGGTTAGGCTTAAGAGAGAGACAAAGCCTAGAGCACCAGGGGCCATAGCGAGACAAAAGCGATGCCAAAGCAAGTATAGGATAGCAGCCACATTCATTCTAAGATGTGTTTGGCCTTCGGGACAACACAAGCCTTGATGTGATACCCGATATATGGCGCATATCTAGGGTTAGGATTAAGAGAGAGAGAAAGCCTAGAGCACTATGAGGCCGGGACATATAAATGGCATGTCCAAGCACATATAGCGCACTAGTCACCCTCCTTTGAGGATCTAATTGGACCAAGAGTCAACACAAAGTTTGCAGACAGCACACAGCATTTCATTCTCCCTTAGATTTAGGGTTAGGATTAAGAGAGAGACAAAGACTAGAGAATCATATATCTTGGCGACACAGAAGCCACTGCAAAGCTGGTGTAGGACAACAGCCACACTGCTTCTAAGATAACTTTAGCCTTCAAGACAATGCAAGCCTTGATGTGATATCCGATATATGGCCCATATCTAGGCTTAGAGTTAGCACCATAGGCCGTGGCAACTCAAAAGCCATGCCAAAGCAAGTGTGGGACACCAGCCACATTCCTTCTAAGACATGCCTGGCCTTTGAGACAACAAAAACCTTGATGTGGAACCCAATACATTGTCCGTGGAGACACAAAAGCCATGCCAGAGCACGTATAGGATAGCAGCCACATTCATTCTAAGATATGTATATCCTTTCAGACAAGACAAGCCTTGATGTGCCATATATGGCACATATCTAGGGTTAGGGTTAAGAGAGAGACAAAGCCTAGAGCACCATGCGGCCCGGACATATAAACAGCATGCCAAAGCACATGTAGTATACTAGTCACACTCCTTCAAGGATCTAATTGGACCAAGAACCAACACAAAGATTGCTGGCAGCACATAGTATTTGGCTCACCCTTAGAGTTATGGTTAGGGTTGAGAGAGACACAATTCCCAGAGAAACATATGTCATGACGACACAAAAGCCATTGCAAAGCAAGTGTAGGACAATAGCCACATTGCTTCTAAGATAACTTTAGCCTTCGAGACAAMACAAGCCTTGATGTGACAGCCGATATATGGCGCATATCTAGGGTTAGGGTTCAGAGAGAGACAAAGCCTATAGCACTATAGGCCATGACAACATGAAAACCATTCAAAAGAAAGTGTAGGACACCAACCACATTCCTTCTAAGATATGTTTGGCCTTCGAGACAACACAAGCCTTGATGTGACACCCAATATATGGCACATGTCTAGTGTTAGAGTTATGGTTAGGGTTAGGGTTAAGAGAGAGAGAGAGACAAAGTGCAGAGCACCATAGGTAGTGGGGATACAAAAGCCATGCCAAACCAAGTGTAGGACATCAGCCACATTCCTTCTAAGATATCTTTGGACTTCGAGACAACACAAACCTTGATGTGACACCCCATATATGGCACCCCTAGACATGTGTGTCTAGGGTTAGAGTTGGGGTTAAGAGAGACACAAAGCGTAGAGTACCATAAGCCATGGTGACGCAAAGGCCATGCCAAAGGAGGTGTAGGACACCAGCCACATTCCTTCTAAAACATGCCTGGCTTTTGAGACAACATAAACCTTGATGTGGAACTCAATACGTTGCACATATCTAGGGTTAGGGTTAAGAGAGAGAGAAGGGCTAGAGTACCAAGCGGCACGGAGACACAAAAGGCATGCGAAAGCACCTATAGCGCACTAGTCCCATTCCTTTGATGATCACTTTGAACCATGAATCTACAGAACGTTTCCTGGCAGCACACAGTATTTGGCTCTCTGCTAGGGTTAGGGTTAAGAGAGAGAGACAAAGCCTAGAGCACCATGGGTCGTGCAGACAGAAAATCCATGCAAAGGCATGTGGCGTGGATATATAAATGGCATGCAAAAGCACATATAGCGCACTAGTCACATTCCTTAGAGGATGTAATTGGACCAAGAATCAACACAAAAATTACTGGCAGCAAATCCTATTTGGCTCTCCYCTAGTGTTAGGGTTAATAGAGAGACAAAGCCTAGAGCACCATGGGGTGCGGAGACATAAAAGGCAGGGCAAAGCACATTCCGTCGAGGATCACTTTGGACCAAGAACCAAGAGAAAGCTTCCTGGTAGTAATCTCACGTAGGGTTAGGGTCAGTGTTACGGGTAAGAGAGAGAAAAAGCCTAGAGCACCAGGGGCCATAGTGACACAGAAGCCATGCCAAACACATAAAATGCATGCCAAAGCAAGTAGAGCACGCTAGCCACATGACTTCCAGGATAACTTAGGCTTAAGAGATAACACTAGTCTTTCGGGGCCATTGTAGAGTTAGGTTACASCTACATTAGGGTTAGGGCTAAAGAGAAAGAAAGCCTAGAGCAGAACAGTGCGCAGTGAGAGAAAAGACACTGCAAAGCAGTGCACACGCCTTCTGGGATAACATTGGCCTAAGAGATRAAACTAGCCTTTCTGGTGATACCCAACAAGTGGTCCACATCTAGGGTTATGGTTAAGAAATAAAGAAAGGCTAGAGCACAGCGGGACACAGCAACACAAAAAGCATATGCCAAATTAAGTGTAGTGCACTAGCTACATGCCTTCAAGGAGAACTTTGGCTTAAGAGCTAAGCTCATGGGCTTGCTGGCTCCACCTAAGATATGGCTCACATCTAGGGTCAGGTCAGGGTTAGGGTTAGGTTTAGGAGTCAGGTTTAGGAGAGAGAGAAAACTACCTAGAGCTGGATTCCAGTGAGGACAGAGATAATAAATATAATTTATAGAATTTCTATGTAGGCTTGATGCATCCGAGTCCATATTTACTTACAGATTGAATAACAGTACTACTAAATGACCAGTTCAAGCACAGTAATACCAAGCAGTCTTATGTCTTTTTTTTTTTTTTCTAGGAAGAAATGCCGTGATGTGTCTTAGAAAGACGTTATAAATTCAGTGTCTTTTGAAAGATGGTAAAATGGTCATGTTCCTATGATTTCTTCTGAAACCATTGCCTAGCTGCAATATATTTAAAGAATAAATATTTTTATTTATATAACAACAATATATATGTATACAATGAAAGAATAGGTCAGATACCGTAGGGACTTGCAGAGATCCTCCAAGCAATAACATAGCTCCAGAATTGTTTGTATAGTCAGAGAGGTTCAAATATGGCAGGACTACGCAGATTGTAGTGTGTAAGAATTGCCTTTGTAGTTCTTKGCTATCTCTAATTGATTAAAAATCCAGTGTTTTTCAAAAAGGAATAGCACACCACAGAATATTTCTGCAGAGTCTCTGAATACTCTTGGTTTCTTGGAGTGGCTGATGGGGTAAAACTGGTTCTTATTCAACTGCCTCTCTTTTATGTGAAGAAACATGTTTCACCTGATTCTCTACCATAAAACACAACACTAACATCTCCTTCCTCTCTAAAAGCTACTACCTGCTGTATCAACAAGCTGTTCTAAAAAACTTTCACCAAATCCCCTTTTCTTCAATTATTCATATGCTAAATAGACAAGGCAACTGCTACTTCTTTTCTCTGTGTATGTAAACTTGGAGAAATGATAGTAATCACATTGCTAAATTCCTTAGCAACTATGGACAGTAAATACTAATAAGACATAATTTTTCTGTGAAAAGGTTGTAGAGGGGTTAGTATCATCTGTCTAGCGCTACTGAGACTTCCTGTAGAAAACTTGGCTGCAAAATGGCATCTGACTCAAAACACTACAATTTTCAACAATTCAAAAAAATATAAATGTATCAGTGCYTGGTCAAATAGACTTCCACATGTTGATTTATCACAATCTTCCACATTAGCCCACTACCAACTTCTATAAATTACTCCGGACTGAAAACAATCCCTGTGTGCAACTTCATAACGAATTCATGGTACTCAATCAATCTTACCAGTTTTAGAGTGATATTGGAAAGTAATTTGGAACAGTGTCAATTAGACAAAGGTAATTTCTAGGGACCAGATCTGCATTAGCACATATATGCACAAAGCTCAAGTAAATGTACTTTTCTAGGGAGCTTTGAAAGAAAAACAAGGAAAAAATAATCTCTCTCAACAAGCAATCAAGAAGTCAGGGTACCAACTCTATGACTTCTATTTCTGTTCATTAGCCAAGGAGTAACTCTGGCTGCACTGTACCTCCTGAGTTGAAGCTTTGGCCAGCAGAGTTGAAGGCTTCCTTGGCCATTTATTTTCTGCATGCTGCACAGTTTGAAGTGTAATGGAGCAGTACACGAGCTAGCAAAGATATGAAACCTGTGTATGTTTTCTAAGCTTCAGCATCCAAGTGTAGGAGAGTTAAGACTGGCTGTACTTAAAATATGAARCAAGATATAATTCTAAATCAGGCAACCTTTTCCATTCTGATAAACRTAAGTCAAAATTTATATAAAACTTTACCTGCAACCACTGTGACTGGTCATTGTGGCCAGAGGTCCAGGCATTAACTTTGCCTTGCTTGTCAAGCCGGGCTTTCCTAGGTTCCCAAGTGAACATGTCCATGTTGAGAGTTCGGAAAACACTGGAGGCAGTAATTTGATAATCCTGTATGTGTCCTGATTTCATCCCCAGGGGTTCCGAGCAACCTACAGGAGCAAARTAAGATCTGTGACACTACTTACTTGTCTCTATGCTTTAGTTTTTCCTATATGGGAAAGAAATGTAGCAATTATCAAATAATGGACTTTAATCAAGGATGCTGTCGGGAAAAACTGCAAACAAATAAATAAATAATTGACAATTCAAAGCAGTTTATATAATTACCACTGAGAAAGAACTGAAAATATGATAGAGAATTTGAAGCATTTTACCCTAGTGTAAAATTTTGAAGAGAAATAAGTATAAAAGATGACTCTCGTCTCTTCTTACCTCTGTTTTCTTTTCCTGACTTGTCATTGTTTCCTATATGCATCTTAATTTTAATCATACTTGTATGCCATGTCACGTTATCCATGTGTGTTTATGTATTGAGGAAACATTAATTTTTATTCATGCCACTAAGTAAGTTAAAAGTTAACAAGCATTGAACTCTTTTACACACTTGAGTGACCTGACAGCCAGCCAAAAATCAAAAAGACCCAAAATTCACATTGTGGAAGACCACAAAACAATGATTATGAAGTAGGGAAAATAGGAAAATTACTTAGGAGAATTAAAGTGTCAACAGTTTACTTTTTTAAACCTGCTGGAGGTCCCACATTGAATTATTTTGACTGTAGCTAAAAAGAGAATTCAGACCTTTCTCTGCTAGGTCTCCTTAGAAAAATGCAAACAATATCAAATTAATAATTGATTCTATGTTCCCTAACTGTATACTGGAAATCAGGGGAAGGGGAACAGAGAAGACACATTTGGACTCATAAAAGAAGGGAAGCAAGCTGACAGCAGGAGAAACACTCTTTAACAGCAGCACAGTAACAACAGTATTGGAAGCCAGGAAACACAGACGAGATATTTAGTTAAGACAGAAAGAGAAAGAGAGAAAGACGGCAAGTCATGCAGCTGATGTTAAGTGGGCTGCTAAGAGCTCAGAAAGGGTGGAATGTAGGACGGGATGCAATAAAGACTGATGTGTTTTTGAGCAAAAGGTGGAAGATATGAGCGAATATAAAAATAAGTGTTTTCTCATTTCCTACCTGTCTCAGCTGACAAAAATCTGCAAAAGCGCAGCTGTGTCAAAGTCTGCATTTTACACCTTTGGTGGCCCTAATTAGTTCACTCGAATCATTCCACCTGTAAATAATATTTTAATGTACTCTAGTTCATTGAGTCAGAATGCACTCTGAATTTCACACACCTTGTTTTGCAAGAGGTGTGCCATCCTCTCATGTCTGCAAGTACACAGAAACTTAATACATCATTGGGAAAACAGAGATTTTCTGCCTAACACTCTCAACTTCAGCTAGTGAGCTGATTCTTTACAGATAGTCACTTGCTAAGGCACTAGCTGCATTTCTTAAAGCATACCTGTAAGTCATGAAGGTTTTACTGCTGTGACACAACCTTGCTCAGCTTGTATGTCCTGATATAACCAAAGTACATTGTGACCACTTAAAATACCCAAAGTCTTTTGTTTTTCTCTACTTGAGCTAGATACAGAAGCCGGTTCTCTTTTTCTTAAAAAATTGTTTCCTCTACAGTATGCTACCTCCATTTAAAGATGTGATCCTTAGTTGTGTCTGTGGAAATATTATTAGCAAGGGCCTTCTGGATAGACTCTACTTTGTGTTTCTCCAGTCAGTTTAACCCACAGAATTAAGGGCAATTATTATGGACTCAAATCAGAGGTGATAAGATCACACCCTTCAAGTGAAGGAACAGTATCAGGAATAAGTATCCCAGAGAAATGTAACAACAATATGCTCTCTAGTATATTAAACTTTAATTTAAACTTTGAAATACTACAATGTTTTACATTCAATTTAAGCATAAACAGATAACAGATAATTTTTTGCAAAACATTTCAAAACTGGTTCTTAATGTACGAAAGGAGGTTTTAATAGTCTTTCCTGTAAAAAGAGCTACTGAGTTTAAAATAACAGTAAATTGATTTTGTTTTTGAGGAGAGAGCAATTGAGAGTGTTATCTATAGCTAGAAAGGGATTTTGACTATTATTCATTTCCCAAGTAACATTCCTAGATCATAAGGGCAAGAATGTTTCAYCTGAAGAATCTGAAGGAGGTTTCTGCCACAAAAACAGTGCTTATCAAAACTGTTTTCCAGCAGTGGTTCAATCTCTCAAAGAGAATGAACCCATTCTATCTCTTCTGAACAACAAACGGGTGTGCTGTTGCAGGTGTGCAAGTTTAGCACTCGCAGTGTTGTAATTTTACACTAGTCCTTTGTCCACTGCCCTAAAGTAAAACGAAGAAACATCTGTTAAAAGAACCAAGGAAGGTGAGAAAGACCTATGAGAACCAGAAATGGATGCTCTTGTGCACTTAAGTGACAGAATATCATCTAAGAGCTATACCAAAGAAAACGATAAAAGATCACAAATAGTCACTTCCCAGCCCCAAGTCCCTGTGATAACAGAAGATAATGACTCCTCCTTTCGCTACGTGAGCTCTCACCCTGAGCACATAGGACAGAATGACCAAACTCTTAAAAATTTTTGTGTCAGTAAACAATCACTGATATAGAGGTAGATTTCTAAGAATGCTTATGACTGCCTAGAACACATTATTCTTTTCACTATATTTTAAATTTCTTTCCTAATATCCTTGTAAGAGCTTTAAATCTCTCTTCCCTTTCTTACAACTTGTAAAAACTAGTGGAAACTAATGCAGAGATATTTATGGCTGGGCTCAGGGGAGCCTTCTAGGTCAGCACATGAGATGTTTTGAATAGTGATAAATGATAATTATGTATATTCAAATCTACCTAAGATCATAGGTGCTTCTTATTTTGTCCAGCTCACTGAGGTATCTACTTTTGGTAAAAGCAGAGATGAGRGTCTAAGAAGTGAAAGCATCCACATTGGGCCTATTCTCTGTTGTTTCTTCCAAAGGCACAATATTTTGCTTTTTAATCTTGAGTGCCTTAAAGTGCTCTCTCTTTTTTTTTTTAAACAAAGTTCAAACTCTCAAGAAAATATTAAATTTCTGATTCAGTGGAGGAAAAATTTGAGAYGATGTAGATGTCAACATATCTCATAAAAGTCCCATCAACTAGATCTGTATGCAAAGGTCTACATTTGTCTTGTCTAATGCTAGGACTTATACARTATTAAGTAGGAAAATTACACTAGGCCAAAAATAATCTTGTTTTGTCTTGTTTTTGTGAAAAATAAAGAGATTTATCAAAATTATGTAGAAATGTACATGCAACTGGATAGGAATACATGAAAATGAACAAGAGCAATGGAATCTAGTTTTAAATCACAGGATCACTATGTTTGGAAAAGACCCTCAAGATCATCAAGTCCAACTGCAAACCCATCACCACTCTGCCTGCCTAACCATGTTCCTAAATGCCTCATCTACACCCTCCTTGATCACTGCTGAGGTGGTGATTCTACCACTTCCCTGGGCAGCCTTTTCCAATGTTTCACCACTCTTTTCATGTATAAATATTTCCTAATTGTAAGGAATTCCTAATCTGAACCTCCCCTGGGGCAACTTGAGACCATTTTCTCTTGTCCTATTTTCAGTAGTTACTTTGGAGAAGAGATTGACCTCCTCCTCACTAGAACCTCCTTTCAAGTAGTTGAAGAGAGCAATAAGATCTCCCCTGAGTCTCCTCTTCTCGAGGCTAAATAACCTCAGCTCCCTCAGCTGCTCCTCATGCGGCTTATGCACCAGACCCTTCACCAGCTTCGTTGCCCTTCTTTGCGTTGAGGTTTAAGTGCCTCAATGTCTTGTAGTGAGAGGCCCAAAACTGAGCACAGTATTCCAGGTACGGCTTCACCAGTACTGAGTACAGGGAACTATATCACTGCTTCCCTAATCCTCTTGGCTACGCTATACCTGATGTAAGCCAGGAGGCCACTTGCCTTCTTGGCCACCAGGGCACACTGCTAGCTCATGTTCAGCCAGTTGTTGACCATCACTCCCAGATCCTTTTCTGCCGCACAGCTCTCCAGCCACTCTGCCACAAGCCTGCAGTACTGCATGGGATTGTTGTGACCAGTGCAGGCCCTGGCACTTGGCTTTGTTGAACCTCATACAGGTGGTCTCAGCCCATCAATCCAGCCTGTCCACATCCCTCTGTAGAGCTTTCCTACCCTCAAGTAGATCTACTCTTCCTCCCAGCTTGGTGTCATCTTCCAATTTGCTGAGGGTGCACTCAATCCCCTCAGACAGATCACTGATAAAGATATTAAAGACCATCAGATCCAACACTGACCCCTGGGGAACCTTGCTCATGGATCAGTTGCCAGCTGGACTTAACTCCATTCACCACCATTCTGGGCTCAGCCATCCAGCCAGTTCTTCACCTAACAGAGTCCTCCTGTGTAAACTATGAGCTGCCAGCTTCTCCAGGAGAATGCAGTGGGAGATGGTGTCAAAGGCCTTACTAAAGCCTAAGACAACCACATGTACAGCCTTTCCTTCATCCACTCAGCAGGCCACCTGGTCATAGAAGGAGAGATCAGGTTGGTTAGGCAGCACTTGCCTTTCATGGACCCCTGTTGAATAGGCCTGATCCCCCAGTTGTTGCAGACATGCTGTGTGATTGCCCTCAAGATGATCTTGTTCCATAATTTTCCACGACACTGAGGTTAGGCTGACAGGCCTGTAGCTCTCCAAATCCACCATCTGACCCTTCTTATAGATGGCTGTCTCATTGGCAAGTATCCACTTGTCCAGGACCTCCTCATTTGATCACGACCACTGCTTGGCGAGCAGGTCCACCAGCCCCCTCAGAACCTCTGAGTGGATCCCATCTGGATCTCTCTCCACAGACTTGTGAGTGTCCAAGTGGAGTAGCTGGTCGCTGACTGTTTCCTCCCAAATTATGGGGAGCTTATTCTGCTCAGCATAGGTATCTTGCAGCTCAGGGGGCCAAAACCTTGAGAACAACTGAGCTGCCTATTAAAGACTGAGACAAAGAAGGCATTAAGTACCTCAGTCTTATCCTCATCCTAGTGACGATGTTCCTCACCACCAATAAAGGATGGAGATTCTTCTTGGACCTCCTCCTCTTGTTAATGTATGTGTAGAAACAATTTTTCTTGTGTTTTACAACGGTAAATAGATTGAGTTCCAGATAAGTTTTTGCCTTTCTAATTTCCTCTTTGTATATCCTAGCAATGTCCTTGGACTCTTCTTGAGGTGCCTGCCCCGTCTTCCAAAGGTGTTAAAAACTTTTTTCCCTGAGTCTCGACGATAGTTCCCTATTCAGCCATGCCAGTCTTTCTCCTCAATGGCTTGTCTTCTGACACATGTACATGAACTTCCCCTGTGTCTTCAAGATTTTCAATTTGAGAAATGTCCAGTCTTCCTGGAACTCATTGCTCTTCAGAATTGCCTCCCAAGGAACTCTCAGTCCAAAGCCTACCCTCCAGAAGCTCAAGGTGGTAGTTTTGTTGATGCCCCTCCTAACTTCACCAAGAATTGAAAACTCCAATTTCAAGGTCACTATAAATGCAGAAGTTATGAAGACTCCTTGCATAAGAGTTTGTGTGTCAGATTCTATAGCTACCTACAGGCATGGAGGGAGGAATAGCTTAAAGAAAACAACAGAATAGAAGTAAGTGCTAAGAAGGCAGATGTGAACATATTCAGAGGAATAAAAAGCTTTGGGGATTAGCATACTTCTGCAAGAACTGAAAAACTCAGAACACCAAGAATCTGCCAAATTTGTACAAGACTACAAAAAAGGAAAGGAATTTACAAAACAGAGATGTGTAAAACACAAATAAGGCAGGAATACAAGGTCATGAGATTTTCGTAAATGTGTATTGTACTGATGGTTGTTCACATAAGTATTGGAAATGCTTTCCAAAAAGTCTGATTATGGGTACTAGTCAGTTAAACTATTAATGAATCTACATCTGACCACATGCTGGTCAGATATAATATAATATACATATAATATACAACAGTATATTATATTATATATATATATCTGACCGCATGCATAATTATGCATATGTTATGCATAATATACTGTTGAACTGCAAATCCTAAGAAAGGTTTCATTTTTAGCACGAACATCCTGCAACATAGTCTCCTTCCCTTCCGTAGGGTTTCTCTTCTCTAGTTTCACTATTTGTTAGAGAAGCCAGATCTGTCAAGATCCTTTTTAGTCTAAAACAGATTATCTGGAATAAGACTGCATTAGATTGTCTTTATGTATAATCATATTTATTTTCCAGTAGACACTGAAATTGTTTTGGTGAGCCTTGGCTGCCTGCAGTTTTAAGAAATTATGACCTTGAAATTGTTAGGAGACCTCTGAAATGAATTTACCTCAGTGGCTTTCATAACTCTTTGAGCAAAACTATTCTTGGTCATTCTGGCAAGGGCTGTACATTGTAGTTCCAGAAATGGAAGACATAAAAAAAAAATCCAACAGACTAAAGCAGCTAGATAGAATTTTCTATTTACTCTCAAATCTATCTATATTGTAAACGGGGTACACTGAGATTAATGCATTAACTTTTCATTTCTGAATCTGGTTTTGATACCAATAGGGGACTAAAAGTTATTTAACTCCTACAGTTTTGATATATAATTCGTAAACTGGATGACTATTGTTTGTACAGTAAGCATATAGCCACAGAAAAAATCATTCCTAAATGAATTTGTGGAGCACTCCCACTGGTAAAGGTTGATCTCTTGCAAAAGATTTTTAAAAATTAACATGCATTACTGAATTTGTAAAGGGACATGGTTCTTGCAAAGAGCAGCTAACAGGTTAGGCTTTACATTCATGAACTATAATATCTGCTACTCTAAACCTTAAGAGGGTTTATATTGGCTCTACTTTTTTTTCACTTTTCCTACAAGACACAATCACTGCTTCCACTGGAAAGACAAAAAGCGTACATAAAATCAAACCTTTTCTAAAGCAGCTTGGTAAAATATATCTTATTCCAGTCCAGAAGACGCATTCTTGTACCTCCAAAGACGGCTTGCAGCACATCATTCATCATCAGTGTGATCATCCAGCAATCATGAGAAATGACTCAGATTGACTGTGGTCCCTGCTTCTGTTCAGAACTGCACAGCAGACTCTTGGCAAACAGCTTTAGTTCTCAGCAATCCTTTCTCTTTCTGTACTATTTTTTTTTGGATATACTGAATGTAACTGTGAGTTAGAGACTGTCTCAATGCCTCTTCAATATATACCAGAATAGCTCCTGATATCTGATGATACTTATTCACCTTGGATGATATTTACCGACCTTTTATAGGTCATACATAGTTTGAGGCCAATGCATATAAAAGATTTAGTAAGATTGCTACTGTGTTACCTTATTAATACTACTAATACCATCACCGAACTATTGTTGCTTATATCATTTACATAAAATGAAACAATAAGCATCTGGATAAACTCAAAGATGTCAACTGCATTTCAGTATGAATAAATGGGATCTGTTCTAAACCACCAGCACAAGAATGTGTTGTTTATTTCTGAGATATGACAATTGCTACAAAACTCACCTGATAATTCACAGCCAAGAAGTTCCATTCTCAAAGTACAGTGCCTTCTGCAAACCTGAGGATACAGCCGTATGTACTGTGACTTTATTGGTGGTGTGAAGGAGTTGGCATAAGGAGTGTTGTTGTCTATATTTCCACGGAATACCTATGTTAAAATGACATATTCATAAAAATCTACTAAGAGACTTAGGAGATGTTCATTTCATTTTGATGCCTCAAACATATTCTCTTTGCTCTTCTAACCTTCCCTCTTTGGTTCTCTGTAATTTTTTTTCACAGAGGTTGTTTTTTTTCCACTTTTTGTGCCCAACATTCAAGATTTTAAAGGTGGCATAACTGACTTTGGCTTATACACGCATGTGTTTGTTGCCCCTGGTAAAATTGCCTTTGACATGTCACTCCTAGAACCTGGAGCTTCTAATGTACTAAATTACATCTTTTTTTCTTTTTTTTTTTTTTTTTTTTTCAAATTAATGTTTTAAATAGTTCCTATTCAATCTAGCCTGCAATTATTCAATTATTTAAATTGACTGACATTTATTTTTTCCCTCTACTTCAACAAACTGCTCCAGCTACCACCAAATTCTACTAGAACCTTTCACTGGGAGCTGAATTAAATCTAAAAAATTCTTCTATTCTCTCCTCACTCTAAAAGATATGATTATATTTTGGTTTCTTCCTTCATTATACACCTTTTCATAAGGCATTTCAACTTCCTGCCCTCGTAAGAGGAACTATGTCGAATGCTGGTGTCTTCTCTATGTTAACTTTCATAGTAAAGCCATTCTTGTTGCTTTGCATTCAGAACTCTGTATAAAAATAAATAGTAACTATAAATCGTATAGATACATGATAAACATGCTACTGTTTATGCAATGCAGAGATTAGCATTGATGAATGAGTTCTATGCTTTTAAGGGTTAACATTAATCTGCCAACGTAATAAAATCAAATTGAAAATAGAGTAACGAGTAATTACTGGTAAACTAATTAAAATGAAAACCAGTTAAGAGCAATAAACAGGATTATTCTAGCCTGAGGACACAATATTTTTACAACCCTCAATTAAAGGATAAGAAATTCTTAGTGCACAAAAACTGCTTTTAGAGAACTGCTTTTTTAGAGAAAAATAATAGCAAGGAAACACACTGCTTTCTCTGTCAGGCTTATACTTTTCTACTAGAGATATCTCACATTTCTGAAGGCTGCTAAACCATGAGACTTACGCCTATCTGGATAACATAATCTTACCATATCTTCATTTGTGCCTTTTACTTTGTACATTGTCCATGACTTCCCATCATTACTATATGCAATTTTGTAAGATTTAATATATTCTGGACTTCCAATCCTCTTGGCACCTTGAGTTAGAATACCAGTGACTCTCATCTTCCTCTGCAGGTTTATCTGAAATAACAATATAATGTCATAATTAAACATCTGAGGGAGACAATTGTTTAAATTTAATTATAACATTTATCTTTTTCTGACTCCAAGGGAACTATAGCACTTAAAAGACTATCTCTGTTTTTGCATTAACTCCATTTATTTTTCATTTATATATGTGTGTGTGTGTGTATATATATGAACAAATAAATGAAAAAAACATTTTGGGTAGGAAGCATATACTAAGTTGCTGTCTTTGTGTGTATGTGTATACATACCCACAATCACAAACACAACACTGATATACATACAAACTTATATATATATATATATAAAACAACTTATATAACAACTAATATATATACAACCTTACTAAAGGCTGTATCTCCCCTTCTATTAGAAGCTAGTTTAGAATTCCACTTGAAAAGGGTCCAAGCTAATTTCTGGTTAACATTTTTTTTTTTTTTTTCCCCTAAAGTCTAAGTAAAACCACACAGATGCACTATAGACTTTTCCTTGATGCTCACTGAAAATTCACAGATTTAAAGATCATGACTGAAAYATTATTTCCAAAAAAGTCAATGGCAAAACACTAAAGGCTATGAAAGGATATATGAACATTCCCATGTAATTGTCTGGGCTAGCCTCTACATCAAAAATAAAAAATTAAGATGTATCGAGAATTCAAGTTGAAATAGACAGTCATAATTTTCTCTTTCTCATCCATCTATGATATGCAAAATTGAATTATATTCTTGTAAAATTCAGATTGATACATTTGTAAATCAAATAGTATCAGGATCCACCACCCGGTCCCTACAATGAAAACTATCAAGAGGTAAGCTGTGACAATTGTGCCGCCACCTCATACCAAGAGACAGTTGAAATCTGTAACTTTTTTCCCAAATGAAACTTAACAAGGTGGCATCACATTGTGAGGTTTGCATTAAGGGGCAGGCAGACATCGAAAGAAAGGTGGTGAGTGGTCATAATAAAGAGTAATCAACTGGAAAAAAGTTAATAACATATTTATTTACAAGTTCAGCCCTTACTTCCTCCAAAAGAACCTTGTCCGAGTTCTCCAGCTAGTGAGGAGACCATGGTTCTCCCTCTTCTCTGGGACAGCAGCCCCCAGTCAGGGACACAGTAAGTCAGAGATGGGCCATATATTAGCTGATAAGATGCCTCATTGCCAATTAATATTGAAATATTAATTGAGAAATAGCTAGAGCCCTTCAAAACAACATCAAAAAGGCCATCTTTCCCTACCTTCCAGGAATAGTCGGGCTTTCTGATATGTCTCTTTTTGGGACACGAAAAAAAACCAATGCAGTTTTACCCCATTTGTCTGACCTGAGTAAAATATTTCCACACACACATTTTTTTTTCCAAAAAAATCACTGCCCTCCTCCCAGAAGACTCGCATAAACACAAATTACAACTTTATCTTCCCCCATTAAAAAATAAAATGTTATCATGAGGGCAACTCCAGAGACTATTATCAACCCTGAAGACAGAAAATTATAGTGAAATACACTTAGTACTTCAGAAGAACTGCATTTAGTACTTAACATAAAATTGCATAGAGTTAAGTAAAAAGGCTTCTAGAGATTTCTTGTGCAAGTTTCAATCTATAGACGTAATTTAATAACGCTCTTACACTTAAATGTAATATATATATATATATATATATAAATTCCTTACACTATACAGGCAAGATAGAACAAAAGAATGTCATCTGATATTCCCAAAAGTGTTAATAATTACAAGAACATCATTTTCAAAAACAAATCAGAAAAATAGTCATTGCTTATTTGCCATTCACATATGTTTACTTCTCTTCATGTATGCACATATAAGACATTCTACTGCCTGGGGAAAAGGAAGATAAAGTACGATATCAAATCCTTTTTTTTTTTTTTTTTTTTTAATCAAGTAATGCATATAATTTAGCATTTTTTTAGTTTTATTTCCCTTTTTCATATAATGATTTAAGAAAGCTTTTTTTTGCATGAGGATTTATGTAGAAAATGTTTTTTCTTTTATAGAAGCAAGAGTAGCTTCTAGTAAAATTGTGATTTTATCCTCTTGATAGTAAATTTACGGATTCCAGCCTTCATCCCTAACGCAAAATAAAACAATCACTGCAATTTGATAAGCGAAACAATAAGGAAATAAATCTGCCAAAGATTTTGATACTGTGCTAGAAATTCAAGAAGAGAAATAAATAGCCCTACTGAATGAGGAGTTGATTATAGAACTATGAAAAGTAAAGAAAAAATCTTTACTTTTTGAATACTCACTTTATTATGCATAATGTTCAAGCTGTGTTCTTCAGTCTTCAGGAACCAAAAAAAAGCTTGCCATTTTAGGTATAAGCCAACACCTTTACTTCATATGTTAGTATTTGTAAGTATAAGCTAAAAATCTTATTTACATCTGTTTTTTAACAGACACAATCTATCCTTTTAGGATTTTTCTGGACTAGCCTTCTTCCTTCTGAGGCTCAGACACAGCTTTGGCTTTAAATGTTACTGAGTTTCAAATAAATTAGAAAATAAAAATGGGACAGAATATTTTGCAATTAGGTCTATATAATCTGTCAATTTTTGCAGGAAAGTCTCAATGAAGGGCGGGAAAATCACTCAGAAATACCTGCAACTTTAGTATGTACAAAATTCTCCTGGAGCTGATTTCATGCCTAAGGTATTTCCAGTGAGTACACCAGGCCTTTTGTGCCTGGATTCTTTTATGTGCTTTAAATTTTTCAAGCCAGAGCTTAGCAAAACACAAAATATTACATCCATGCAATGACTATAAAGCAGCAGCTGCTGAAATCTTTCTTAGTTAATGTACTTCAGTAAGAAGCAGAGTTCCCAATGTGAAATGTGTGCTAGCTCTCTCAGCACTAAAAGCATTTTTAAGTGCATTGTTCTCTGGTAGCTATGAAAAAATAAAATAAAAGCAAAGCTTAATGTGCTGTGCTTTGTGGATACAGGAGAAACATGGACTTAGGAGAGAATGTTGTACATTCTAACTACATGGGTGTCCTGGTTTTAAAATAGATGAAGAAGTGAAAGTAAGCAGGATAAAAACAAGAATTTAATGCACCATTAAAACAAAAGGGAGTATAAAGGTAAATATACTATCACCTAGACTAACCAAACAAATCAAGAATGATAGAAGGCCAATAATACTTTGAAGGAAGATAAAAAATAATCTTACAGTATTTATGGATGGCAAAGACCTTCAAATAAGACACTTGCATAGAAATTTGAGAGAAGAATAAAACAAAAGTTTTGTTGACAAAAGTCAAGAAAAGTTGAACCAATCAATTCAACTACTTTTACTTACATTTAAAGTTACTTGAGAGCACCAGATTCTGACTACATGGCCACAGTGCTGTATCCAGCTCCAGCTCTGACGGAGTTCCTGGATCCAGCAACTTAGATGCAGCCTAATCACTCAACAGACTGTTGGTGGAATGTTCACAAACACACAAACTAAAGGATGCCCATTGCTTTACTTGTTATTATTAGTATCCCCAAGCAGTTTTTATTTATTTCAGTGCAATTAGAAAATAAGCAGCAAACTGGTGTATTAAAAACTAAATTTAGCCTCTTGAATTGGGTTAGATTTAAAACTAAATTAAGAGGTATACATGATTATGTTAGGTCTGGTCCTACAAGAGAACTCATTACAGGAATTCAAGAGCTTTTTATTCCCTCAAGGTCTTACATGTGTATGTACATATACACATACATATAAATATATTTACATACATATATTTCACCAGTATTTCATTGCTTTCTCTGCTTGCATGATTGGTTCCTTAGATTAAAAAGTACGTATGACGAGGTTTTTTTTTTTTTTTTTTTTTTTATTTTAAGGTAACACCAAGCCTTTGAATCAAACTAAAAACCTTCATTTTGAAGACAAGATTACTTACTAAATGTCATTTATTGTGATGGCTTATGATTTGGATCTCAGAATTTGGGAAACACCATAGTCATACTGCTATGCTGAAAACTTTGTTAGGAGGAAGTAAATCTGTAAAATGCTGGAATTCACCACACATACCTCAGGGTACAATCCATTTACTTTTTAAATTATTTCGAGTCTGTTTTTTTTTTTTCTCCTATAGACATTAATAGAAGAAAATATGAATAATTTTTCCTCTTTCCTTAGACACTAAGCTGAATAATCTGAAAAGATGAATTTTCCTCATGATCTTCTAACATATTTAAATTTATGTCTTTTTTTCTATATGCTTGTTTTGGTTGGTTGAACTCTCTTTGGTAGATTTCTGAAGCTAATGCTCTGTAATCTCAGCTTGTGCACCCTGAATGGAAGAGGTCCACGTACTTTGCAATCTGGGATCAAATATTAGAGTATATACACCATCCAAAAGGTGGATGGATGGTGAATATACTCTAATACTTAGATTATTATATCGAAGAGTAGAGATGCAGTAACTTTAGGAAGATACAATATCGTGCTCCTGACCACAATAAATAACTTTATTTCTCTCACTTTTGCACAATTAGCAATAACGCCATTAACTTTGATGGCACCATACCGTTTTCCTGAACTGTAAACTGGGAGCAAGCTTCCAAAAAAATGCTCAGGTTAAATACCTCACAAAATATCCTTTGAGACAGTAAATATCTGTTTTCATGATCTTCTCTTTTTAACAGAAATTCAGTTCATAATAAACTATGCTGTTTATATGTTTCAGTTATGAGATACAATAGCACTGCTATGAATATTTTTTTTTTTTTTTGGCACGAAGTATATTTCTTGTAGTAATCCTCGTAATTATTCATACAAAACTAAGGTTGAACACAAGATCAATGTTATATTGGCATATGAAGATTCTTTACAGTAAGCCTTCCCTGATGATTTCATCACCTTTTAAAAGCTTGTATTTTTTCTTCTTCTTTTTAAAGTCATAATTCTGATAAAGCTAGACAGRAAACACCCACAGAAACATCTTCTGATGAGAAATAGGGACACTTGCC